GCTGCTAAGTACCTTTTTTCGAAGCGTTCTAAAAAATCATGTAGCGATTTGTTCTCGGAAGGAGCCGGTTCGAAAACGAACGATCCTGTGTGAAAATTCGATGCAACGCCGATGGTGTGTCGCAAGTTTCGTAAATATCGAGAACAGGGCGAGATCGAGGGAAGGAGGTCGAGGCGAGGCCCGCGAATATTGACGGAGCGCGTTGTCGTGAGAAGCGGTCCCGGAGCGCAATTAAAAATGTCCGCGTCATTAGCCCCGAGGGCGATCAAAATCGCGGGAGCGAAACCGCATTAGACGGTTCGATTTGCTCGCGGGAAACAGGGAGGCCGTGGATCCGATAGGGTTAAACCACCCCCCCCCCCCACGCCCCCCACTCCCCCGGGCAGGGAATTCGGTCCTGGATCTTTGCGCTATTGGTCCGGCGAGCTCGAGCTTGGATCTCTCGAGTTTGTTGTCTCGGCTCTCCGGCTGTCCTCAGACCGTAATCGTATTTGGGTTAGCATGCCCGGACGTGGCCCGGACGTGGCGACCTTGAACTTGCCGCCCCCGGACGGCCGACAGAAACGCCCGAGCCCCTTCTGTCGCGGGGAAAGGATAGATACCGGGAACACGGTTCAGGAAGCGGGGAAAATCACCGGAAACCTAAAAAGATACGATGGAAAATTTATTTTTCAATTTCATCGCCGGCGCGCCGGCGAGACTCTTTTGTCTCGAGGGCTCGCTTTCGAACTCTCTGTTCCCGATGCGCCTCTCAATTTGCATAATCAATTAGACCGTTCCGCGTTTCACCGGCTCGCCGCGGTACGCGAAACGTTCTAATAAAACCGCAACATCGCCGGGCTGATTTTGTTCAAATAAATATTGTCCGAAACTGCTTCGAAGAATAATGGTTACATTATATTCTGTCGCGTTTCATTGATACATTTCTGCAGTTATCGTTTGATAAAAATGTTTGGATTCGTATTTGGAAAATATCGAAATGAGAAATGCTTAATTGGACGATCTGTTGACACTTCAGAAAATGTTAATGGTACAAATAACCTAGATAATTATTTATTTAGTATAGAGATTAATAATTCAGCGATTTATTTTTGAAATGTGACAAATATTAGGGTGCGCAATCTTTTGACGCTGTAAAATTTTAAAAATATAATTGTAATATTGTAATATATATAATATAATTGTAAATATATTTATAAATGTATATATATATATATATATATATATATATATATATATATATATATATATATATATTATATAAATTATATAAATGTATATATATTTATAAATGTAATATATAATATAATTGTAAAATTGTAATAATATAAATCAGGTGTATTGTCGTCCATTTAATATCGAAATTAATAATTCAATGACCCTTTAGTTTCTTAATCATTTAAATATTGCAATAAACAACCTACCGACACTACACAAAATTGTAGCAGTATAAATAATATGCAAAATGATTTACCAATTTTATCTGATAATTTAGTGGTTCTTTAACGTTTTGGACATCGAAACATCGAAATCGATAATCCGCCGACATTTTGAAAAATCATTTATTCGATACAGAAACGAATTCGCTGATCCGTTAATTACCGCCTATGAAAACATTGGAAACCGAGAATATTTTCTGCAACGCGACGAGAAGGCTTTACGAATCCGAATATCCGTATCCTTCTATCCTCGAGGTCCATGGAAGGATCTCCTTAGCACAGGACCTGCCGCATTCCAGGCTAGGTCGCAGCCTTCCGCCTACATTCGAGAACGGCCGCCGCCAAATCGAGAACTGACCTACACGACACAACAACGTCGTTCCATCGCGACACGTATCTGGAGGAGGGGTAGCGGTGGGGGGAATTTGGTGGGACAAGCAGGATCGAATTAAAAATTGGTCACGATCCAACGAGATAGCGGCGGCCTAGAAACACGGCGTTGTCACCTGTTGAAGGTGCCTTTACCGACGAGCATATTTATATACCTGCTTCGACGTCTGGAATTTTTTCACGATCGCGGCGAAACGCTCCTTTGTTCTAGCCGGGAGCGAGAGAGAATTTGCAATCCGGAGTCGCGATCTGTGAAGCGAACGGTGCGGAAAAACTCTTAGAAAAATCCGAGACGCGTGAGAACGCGTCCGAACGTGTGATTCACCGATCGAAATCATCGAATAACAAAGCTCGACGCGCGTAGTCGTCATTCGGATGCTGACGAAGAAGCTGACGAAATCCGCGGAGCCGGATGCGAGGCCGTCTTCCGGACGAAGGAGCATCATCGACGGGCCGGTCGTTAATCGGATATTTCTCGCGAGCAATTTGCTTATCGCCGCGACACAGCGGCCGCGGCCGTACGCGGCAAGTTTGTCGAAACAGCGTTCGCCGTGCTAATTAATTCTGCGCGCGAGCTGCGACCCGCGAGCGCAATTTCGCTCGGCGCGACGCCGCCGGGCCGAGCTCTAATATCCTGCCCGGGAGAATAGGCCAAGGAAGGTGGCAGCCAGGTCCTTCGCAGTTTAACCCTTTTAGTGCCGGAGGCCGATATATCGGCTCTTGCTGCACTGGCGAGAAGCGCCAGAGCCGATATATCGGCCCGCGGCTTATAGCGCTTTGTAATAACAAAATTTTACACATTTACGATATCTAAATATAAATATAAATATTTACGTTATTTTAATGAAGTATTATGCAAGATTATATCACAAATATATTTATGACAACATAATTTTGTTTTAGCAATGTTATATCATATTACCTATAACAATTTCGGAAGAGATAAT